ATCAATCACAGTGGCCATTTTCCAATAAATGTAATTGAAAAGAGAAACCCAGACCAAAGCAAGTAAGATATTTATGTAGTTAGGTTGATAACAATGTTTCTCCGGTTCTCTGATTCAAGTTCACCCTTGATACCAAGGAACACTCCATCATCAAGTTTTATAAAATACTCTTACATGTTTTTAATTCATCCCCTATTGTTAAACTAGTTGAAGTTAGGGTGCCAATGGTAATCTTTTTGTTTTTAAGCAACAGGAGCAAGTCTATGTGAGTTTGACTTTGGACATTGTTATTTTTGCTTACTAGTCCTCCTCTCTGTAGCTCAATCTCAAAACACCTAGGTGGAAATCAAATATAACAGAGGTACTTCTCATGGCACCACTTAGGTGTATGCACTTAGATAAAAAGGTTAGCATACAAGAATATAAAGAAATGGCACTTTTCTTTTTCTGGGTCCCTGGATCCACATATATTTCTATTTTTAATTTGCTCTTTAAGAATATGTTAAACTGAGTAATCTATATATTTTAGGGGGAAAAAGACCTCACATGCAAAAGACACATATATTCAATTGTAGTGCATTTGAAAATATTAATAAAAATAATTTCTGGTAACATTAAAATTCAAAGTGCAAGAAGAAACTGTGTTGAAAGCAAGTGGTTCTGTCATCAATCTTAACTTTTTTTTCTAGTGATGGTGGAAACAAAGATAACTTATAGATGGTTCTTAAAGTTCAGTGAAATTGTGAATAGAGAGCACATAACACAACATTTGACACAATACATGTACTTAAAAATGCACCCAGAACATTTATATTTCCACACTTTTAAGAGGCAGTTCTAGGTCATATTACAACTGTAGTCCTATAAACTGGTACTAATATGTTCACTCTATTCAAATAGATCTGCTGCTTAATTAGCATCCATTTACTAATATTTGACTTGTTTACCTACCAAGGATGTTTTCTATTTATTAATACCAACAGAGTAGAAGCCAGCCTCTTAAAAATCTTATAATGATGTACCAAAGAGCAATGAAAAGAAACTCTTTTCTTGCAACCCATAAACAAGAATGAAACAAGATTACAAATTTATTCCATAGTTAAGATWTTCATTTTGAAAGTCATACTATTCTTTCTGCATAAGCAACCTGAAAAATTGAATATATTTATTAGATCAAAGAATATGTGATGGATTAAATGATATGATGTAAAGCAACAAAGTTCCAGTCCCACTTGCAAGTAAAACAGAAATTTCTACCAGCATTTCCATCTGGACGGTTGCCCTAACAGCTTTGTGTTTCATTCCGGTTGGCATTCTCTGAAATTATGGTGACCCATGTGGCTACTCAAATATTTTCTGAGCTATGTACTTCTCAAAGTGTACTGGTTTCTTGCCCTGGCTACCTCCAAACAGAATATCCGTGCTTCTTACAGTACATGCAGACACTGCCTTGTCCCATTGCATGAAGTGATGTGTCCCCATTTAACTAGTGTCTGGGACCCATAGTAAACACTGTTTGGATTTTAAGAGATCATCAATCTTATTTGAAAAAAAGGTAGACTGCATTTCTTGTRGAGAGTTTGAAACCCAAGAATTTGCCCTGGTGTCTCCTCCTTTTGTAGGACTCAAACATTTTTACATTTTAACAACTGTCTCCTTAAAGCTCAGGTATGGCATCCCTGTCTATTAGTAAAACAAGGCTGGGAAGCAGGCCATGTATTATAGGGATTGATCACACTGAGCTGGAAGTGTCAACCTAGRCATAACAGGGAGCAGTGCAGGCACTTTACCCCCATTACAACTACTTGTCTCTTTCCAGTTGGAGTCACTTTTGAGAATTACAATGAAAGAAATTATCCATCAAATTAGTATTGGACAGAAGTATCATTATCATCTAGTTTTACTGTTCCTTGGAGTACTATCTAGCTTTTATTGCCTCTTTGAGGCAGGAAGAACTTATTTTTATTAAATTTTAGGCACTTGAATAAAAATATTCTCACTTAGATATTTAAATATTTAACACACACATGTGGGGGCTGGGGATGTGGCTCAAGCGGTAGCGAGCTCGCCTGGCAAGCGTGCAGCCCAGGTTCGATCCTCAGCACCACATATAAATAAAGATATTGTGTATGCCGAAAACTGAAAAAAATATTAAAAAAAAAAAAAAAAAAACACACACATGTGTAAACACAGGTGCATGCGCAAGCATGTGTACACACACACACACACACACACACACACACAGTACTAGACTGATTTGTAATGCTAAACCAAACAAATAAGGTTCTCATCTTTATGGAATACTTAAAAAGGAAATATAAGCAAATACCCTATAGAGAAGGGTTTTCATGCATGAAAAAATTTATCCTTTTGTCTGGTCTTAAAAATTAGACAATGTGAKATAACAATGTTATTTAATTCATTTAACAAATAGCCAATGCATATAAATCAATGTTAAACTGTAGCAAACAACCAACAAACCCCAGATAGTAAATTACACTTGAGGTCATTTCATTCCTTAATTTACTCTAGGTTTGAATAAATTTATCACCTAATTGTCCTTTTTATTTCTAGGAACCTTCTAAGCAACGTTGATTTGCCCCCATCTTCTTTTGCTAAGTGTCCTTGGATATAACTGGAAGCACTTTCTAAGAACCTATTTCTCAATTCTATTTCCCAGGGAGTCCCCACACAAACACACATGATCCTTCTAATACAACTCGGCTCAACCTTTTGTCAGGATCAGGTCTTTGACTTACCAGATCATTTCCTGATATTAATATCCACCCCTCACCCCTTTTTTCCCCTAATTCCTGAGAAGCAACTTGGACACATGGTGGTAGAATGAGTTTATTTCTTTACTGTGGCCTGTTTGACCTTCTTCATATGTAAACAACCAATACAATTAACACAGAAAGGCAATTTTTATTATTCCTTATTATGACCAACTGGAAGCAGCTATGTGTCTGTGTATACCAAATGTAGTATCAATTTTACTCTCCAATCCTAAATTAACCCTATAGATAAGGGTTTTCATGCAAGGATAAACTGTGCCAGAGGTTGTGTTATATTGCCTCACAGAGACAACATGCAATTTTGTAAACATTGTAGCACTCACAATAGGGCCAATAATTCTCAAATACTTGGCTTGCCTTGAAATTTGTTTCTAGCCATAGTTACTTCCACATCATAATCTTATGACTTGTAGTGAACTACTTTTGTACAACCTTTCCCGCTAAAGTCAACCTTTCTCTCTAAGGCTAACAATAATCTCTCTAAGGTCTAAGACCAATATGTGGTCTTAATTCCCTTTCATTATAATATCTGATCTCAAACTCACTTTTTGTGTCTAGTCCTGTTCTTTCTCTGCACATTTCCCTCCCCTATAGATTCAGAGAAAAGAAAGAATACAATGGAAGTAAAAAGAAGAATGAAGATTCCCTTGATGACATYGAAAGATCCAAATTTTAGCCTAACTCGCTGGTAGATGAGGTTTCCTTCCTGTTTTCTTGTTTTGTTTTCTTTTTCTTTTCATTATCTTTATTTTGTAAGCTGAGGTCGCAGACCCTACTCTATTCCAAAGACAAACACAGACATGGTACCTTTCTGTCTAAATGGCTACAGAGTGTCACAAGAAGTCCTCAGAAACAAAGGCACTGCTATGTAGATGCTGACTGCACCATAGGCAAGTGARAAGGTCACCACATGCCAAATCCATGGTTTGCCTTCCTTTATCCCTGAGAAAGGAACAATGGCATGACTGGGATCTGGGATCTTTACAACTACCCTATGGAGTAGGCAAATAAGTTGTTTTGAGCCAAATTATGCCCATTTTCCAATGAGGACACTTAAYACTTCTCAAATATGTGAGAATTTTCAGACCCAAATGTAGTGAATGATATGATGACAAGTGACCTTAGAAGTGAGTTTGTCACTTGTTTCATTTGAATGTGAAAAATAACTTTATAATTTTTAAAGTGATTTAAAAATTATTTGTAGGGCTGGGGCTGTAGTTCAGTGGTAAAGTGCTTGCTTCTCATGTGTGAGGCACTGGGTTCAATCCTCAATACCACATAAAAATAAATAAAAATACTGTGTTTCCATCTACAACTAAAAAAATATTTAAAATAAATTATTTATTTTAAATTTATAGCTTTGTAAGAAATAACTTGCTTCAAGGCCATTTCAGTTTTCTCATCCACAAAGTGAAAATAAAACACTAAGGCTCATAGGTTTTCTGATACTGCCATTTAGAGAAAAAGGCAGGGCTAAGAATCTGAGGGACAATGATTTGCTCAGCTCATGCTCAGGATGGGGATGGCAATGGGACATTATTCTTTAGGCTCAATGGTAAACCCTGTTTAAAAGGTTTCCTGAGATTGGAACCACTTTGTCATGCTCACTGACTTAACTGTGGCATTTGACAGAGACCAGGCAAGAGGGTTGTGAGCTACAGAATCGACAAAGTCCTGATCCTTACACCAACAAAGTATCTGAGCACTGCTGAGCCTCACCATTGACCATGCTACTTTTCCCTCATGGATCACAGTGATCATCTGACTGACACTCCACTCTTTCACATGAGTGGTTTAGCGATCAACTTTGGCCCAGTACCAAGAGACCACAGGGTTGGGCAGAGGAGTCCTTGGATTCTAGGCTTGGTTCAAGGGGACACTTCTCAGTGGCAGGATCCTCCRACACCCCTGTGGGCCAGGCCAAATTCCAAGGGCGCTAGGGTAGACAGTGGCTCTACTAGTCCTCACCATCCAGGGAGCAGATGGTTAGAGGAGCAGTGTTGTTTGCACAAATGCTGTAGCAAGGACTAAAATAGGGCAGGAGGCGTCCAGGGAAGGGATGAGGGGGGAAAGTGAAAATGTGGGAGCCATTGTCAGTCACATTATAGAAGGAGATATCATGGGCCTCATAATCTAGGAAGACCCCCACGCGGCGAGGAGGAACTGGCAAGGACAGAAGCAGGTAATTATCAGTGCCTGCCCGGTACTCAGTTCCCTTCCTCAGCCTTATCACCCAGAATCCATACTGGGGGGATAAATAGACTACCTCCTTCCGGTCTACATTTTCTGTACACACTCCAAGACCCCATTCAGACCTGTCTCCCACCTCTACCTCCCAGTAGTGCCGGCCTGAGGAGATGCACTGGCTGCCAAGGACAATATTATAGCGGTAAAATCTTTCAGGATTGTCAGGGAGTTCCTGTTGAATGTCTCCATAGTGCACACATTTTCTGTCCTCTGACACGATCAGTCGGAAGTAAGCAGTATCTGGATCCAGGAGCACATCAGCTAGGGRAAAAGATCCTGGTTGGTTACACTAATACAGAGCAAGGGCCACCAGGGAGATTTCTCTGATAAATCCAGCCACAGATTTCTCACTGATGGGCATCTAGAGGGCAATGAGTTATTTCACTTCTGTAGGAGGGAGGGATCCCGCAAACTGCTATCGCAATCATCCCAGCATCCATTACCTGCATATGTCTTCAGGATCTCTCTCAGCCCCAGGACACGGCAATCTGTCTTCAGTTCCAGGGAGACTGGTTCTGGCTGCTGCAGTCTCCAAGACTCGCTCCTGGTAGAGGAGGGCTAATGTTGGGGCCAAGAATTCTGGCTCTACCATATGAGCCTTTCCTTAGAATATGGAAGAAGGGCATGGCCAGGGACAGTCAGCAAGGTGCCCCTCCTTAGCAAAGCAGAGATGTGATGATGATTTGGCTGAGTCTCAAACTATGACATAGAAATGAAAACTCTCAGATCTCCATGCTGTGGAAAAGTTTAGGTATGTATTTGACACCAGAAGAGGAAAAAGTGTCCTGCAAAGGAGAAAGGCTGGAACCTCTATGCAGTCTTTTCCTGCCCTTGGGTGATTTACTGGAAACCACCTATTTTATAAACTTCACCTAAAATTCTCATTGGTAATACCTGAAATGAATTCGATCAAGTACCAAGAAGAAAAAGGAAATATCAACAATTTTTCTTTAGCCAATATAAGGGAAGAGGGAAGAGATTATGGATCAGTGTCTACTTTCTGTTGCATCATTTTCTTTTCCCATTTGTGGGTCTGGCTTCTCTATCCCCTAAAAGGCTGCCTAGAGGCTCCAAGGATGGGAACATACCTGTTTAAGACTTCCTGAATACCCTAGAAGGAGAAAAAAAATGCAGCACATGAGTGCTTTGGAGGGAACAGACAAAACACTGAACTCTGGAAGGGGTTTCTCAGAGTGAAATGGAGAAAAGCTGAGCAGTGCTATAGCAGGAGAACCTGTGAGAGGGCAGCAGAGCAGAGTTGGCTGCATTGGCCAACATTAGGCTCCATCCAAGATTCCCAGTGTGGAGGGCAGGAACTGGAATGATGCCAAGCTGCCTGAGTACCTGCTGACCTATTCCTGGTTTGGAGAATGGGCTGGTCTATGGAACTACCACCTAACCAGGGAAAGGAGAACAGCATGTATTAGTTAGGGACACACAGGGTCCCTAACTGGCAGGCAGAGTGCTGACAGGCTGCACGGAAGATCAGCTAATCCTCTCTCTTGGAATCTCAGTCTATCTTCTGCTCTCACTTAGGCCTCCCAAGAAAAGGTGGTACTCACCTGCAGCATCCAACGGACAGGTCTCTGATACCTCTCTTCCAACTCTGCAGCCATCTTCCATAAGACCTGGCTCTGCTGTCTGAGCTCCTTGTGACTCAACTCCAGCTTATGCACAGTCTCTACTTTCTCCTGTTCTAGACTGGCCAGAGCTGCAGCTTCCTCCACCTCTAGCTGCCGACCCGGTGGCTGTTGATTATTTAGTAATTGACGATACTTCTCAAACTCCCACATGATACTTTGCTTTCGGATTTCCACCTGTATCTATGGAGCCAAGATTGGAATCAGCACTGATATTTTTTTTGGTATAAGGGTCACTCTGAATTGGGGACACTGACAGGTGTGTATGCATATACTGTGGAATGTTTGGTACAACCATGTACTAGGCACCGTAGAGACAAAGATAAAGGATACTAACTGTTCCTACCTTTATTCTTCCACAGCTTCAGGACATTCTTCTGGGTCTCTTTTATATGTTGAATATCCTTTATCTGAAATACCTGGTACCTGGTACAAAGGTGTTTTAGATTTGGGATCTTTTTGAATTTTGGAGTATTTTCTTATATGTAAAGTGATATTTTGGGAATTGGACCCAAATTTAAACAAGAACATTCATTTATGTCTCATATATACCTTATACACATAGCATGAAGGTAATTTTATATAATAATTTTTAATGTTCTTATATTTTGAATGCAATCCATCATGTTGGTGTTCAAAAAATTTTGGATATTAGTACACTTTGGATTTTAGATTTTTTAGATAAGGGGTATTCAACCTGCACCACTATTATTGACCCCAGTAGGATCCATGATACTATACTAGTACCATAAGAGCTAGAATATTTTCCATTTTCAGAATAATAACCAGATATACTTGCTAAAGCAGTGTAAATGAACTATACGGATAGATGGTGTTTCCTCTTGCTGGTGTTATACCTGTTCAATGTACTACTTTAGATCACTTTCTTGATCAACCTTTCTGACAGTTTCATATTTATCAGCTTCAAGTGTATGTCAGAGATTATTTTCTGATATTTTAATAATTGAACTCATAGCAACTATTCTTTAACTGGGAAAGTGAAATGGAAACTATGATTTACTAGCATTAGACAAGCCACACTACCATGAGCTACCATGTATATGAGGCACATACTTTTCCTTTCTAATATATGAGGGCATGAGATCAGAGGTATCCCTAATCATAATCAAACAATGGGTGGAAAAGCCTATGGCCTGAGGTAAAAGGAAAGCTGGTATTGGGACTCCAGGCTCTCTGACTTCAAGCCCCACATTCTGCTACACAAAGATGAGAAGCTACCATAGCCAGCTCCAGAACAACATGGGGATGACAGCAACCTACCTTCCAAAGGGCAGTTCGTTTCTTCTCATTAACTACCAGCTTCCAGGCCTCATCTTGTTCATTCTTCAGATGTTCCAGAGCCTTGTGGAGTTTCCACTGTAAGAGATAAATAAAGAAACTGTTAAAGCCATCTCACACTGATTTAAAAAAAAAAAAAACAAAAAAAGCTTTTTAACACTGGAAGGTAATGGGAAAACCAGTGAACCTCAGACAACAAGAATCTGAATAGATGCTGGGAGAAAAAGGAATGCCATAGAAGGAGTGGACCTGGCTAGATGACATGCAGTGTAGCTCTCTGAGCTAAAAATCACTTCAATTCCCACAATGCCTAAGTGTCTGTAAAGTAGAAGAAAAGGCCCATTATAACTTTTCTAGAAAAAACATCCTGGATTTTCCTGTTCATGCCTAATTTTATTCTTATCTGTCTTGTTATTCTACTCAAAGTGTGGTCTAGAGTCAACAATACCAGCATTCCTTGGATGGTTGTTAGAAATGCAGACTCTTGTGCTGCATCACAAACCTTTCAAATGGGAATCTGAACTTCAGCAAGATCGCTGAGTGGTTCGTATGCACATAAAGGGCAAGAAGCACTTTCTTAGAACAGTAATACAAGGGGTTTCTACTGGAAAGAATTAAGTATTTTAATGTGAGTTTAAATTCTGATGATTTTGTTAAAGATTTAACAAATGCCACATATGGCTTAAGCACCAAACATGCACTAATACTTTGGCATTATCCCTATTTTATAAATAAGAAAACTGAGGTTAATCCAAAGTCATCCAGCTAATAAATGGCTGGGCTGGGATTTAGCTCAGCTCTTAATTCCTATGTTATAATGTTATACCTCATCCTTATGCTAATATTCTCAAAAAGAAAGAAAAAGAAAGTATATACTTCTGATGTTTTAGAAATTCTTCCCAGATAGAAAAAAATAAATGGTTCTGATAAAGAATCATCAGCATAGGCCTGAGAGAAGAGCAAGGAGCAGCCTGGAGGCTGGAAGCTGACAAGGGTGCCTMCAAAAAAGGAGCAGATGTGACAGAGGTGACTCCAGCCCCATACATAAGTAAACAATAGGAGCTGGGAAATGAGAAAGAATCCTGGCCAAAGAGCAAAAAACCAACGACTAGCCTTTGATCTTCCTTTAACTAACTTAAAGTCAGAAAGGATCTGAAAACAGATGCTGTGAGCATTAATACATATTAAGTGCTTAAACCAAAACTGGCACTGGCAAATCCGTTCTAAGTGTCGTCTTACCATGGTTCTTTTCAGCTCTAAAATCAACTATTAAGATCCTAAATTTCTAAGCTTCATTTTTGTCTATAAAATGAAGGAGTTAAAGTGATTCACTCAATTTCAAGTGATTTCTTGTGGCACTGCTAGAAGTTTACAGATTCTGATAACTGTAGCTGTGACTACKAAATAACAGCCTCCTATCTAAACTCACCCAAGCCACACAGAACTGAAGTTAAAGGTATCCTTCAAACTATCAGTATTGAAAATATACTTGTTTGGATATTAAGCCATGTTGGGCTTGGGGTRGGAAGTGGAAAAAGTGGGAGGGAAGAAAATCAAAGAAGTTCATGAATACAAGGAAAGTTCAATGTACCAGATTCTAGGGAACTGTGGGTGGATGTCAGGAGCCAAAGGAATTGGCTCTCAGTCTCTTGGGCTGGCCCTCGTTGTGGAGATGGCCAAATGAGGGCCAGTCAGATCTGTGATATGGAATGGCCAGGCTCTATCTCCCACCTTGTACTCCCAGGCAACATCCTTCATGGGCAGGACACTGTGGGCTTCATGCTCTGRGGACTGGCTGCAGGCCTCACACATAATCAGTCCATCCTCTTTGCAGAACATTTTTATCTCTTCCCTGTGGAGCTCACACACATCGCCTTTCAGCTCCATTCCTGGACAAAGCTGTAACAAACGAACTTTTTCTGCAACACTGGCCAGCTGCCAATTAGGACGCAGGTTTCTTAGCTGGATAGGAGCTCGACAAAGGGGACATATGTAATCCCAGTTCTCAGATTCTGCTGGGACTTGCCAGAGTCCAAAGAGACAGCTATGGCAGAAGGTGTGGCCACAGTCAATGCTCACAGGCTCCTTCAGAAAGCTCATGCAGATGGGACAGGCCACTTCTTCCATAATGGCTTCCACCAAGGCTATGAGATCCATGGTTCCTTCTCATGTCCTCCTCAGAACATGAATAAAACTTGAATAAAACTAGGGAGAAGTACTGAAACCTACAAGAATAAAAGAAAAACAATTAAGAGAAAAAGGTAAAAGAAGAACAGAGAGATCAATAAAAATGATAAGTGACCAAAAAAGATCTCTTTCCTTTGGATCCTTTACTGACTTTATTTAACTTCTCAGCTGAAGTTCTGACTAGGCCACATTACTCATATCACATTAGGGATAGGTAGGGATGTCTTAGCTGATGGAATTTGTGAGTTCTCAGTTTTCGTTCATTTGATCAACTTTGGTTCTTCTCTGGGTTTTGTACTATTAGACCATCTCACTGCAGTCATGCTCTATACAGCAGCAGTTTCTCTTGAAGTTGGGTAAGAACACATAACATGTGGTATTTCAGTTGTCAGAGTAAGGTCATAAATACTTCCAGCCTCACTCTGGTCTGTCTGTGTGTACATTTATATACTTCAAGGTGCAAAAGGCCTATGTTGGAAGCCCATCGCTTTTATGCATAATTTGTTTTCTTATGCTGAACACTGTGAGAGGCCTTGGGTTTGATCCTCAGAACCACATAAAAATAAATAAAATAAAGGTATTGTGTCCAACTACAATTAAAAAATAAATATTTTTTAAAAATATAAGAAAAACAGTAGTTCTTTCCTTCTGCCCTGTGAATCCCTGCACTAACATACCTTTTCATTCACTAACACGCCAAGACTCAACCTTTTGTTTTTTATAACTCTTTAATTTGTTTTAATTAGCTATACATGACAGTAGACTGATAAAGCCATCATTACAGGAAAAAAAACAACAACAAAACCCTGAGATTTTTGCCAGGGCCACATATGGATATGGAACTTGCATGGTCAATATTGGGTAGGCTCTTGGCTCACTGGGCATTATTTATTTACTTTGAAAGTTTGTGTTATGTGATAAAGTCTGTAAAAGGAAGGATCATGCTGGTTTATGCACCTAAATGGTACCTGCCATGCAGATATTGCCCAATAAATATTTGTTGAATAAACCAGCTTGGCATAGAGTAGTTTTTTGTTTTGTTTTTTTTTTTTTTTTTTTTTGGTACCAGGAATTGAACCCAAAGGAGCTTAACCACTGAGGCAAATTTCCAGCCCCTTTTATTTTGAGACATGGTCTCACTAGGTTGGTTTACACCTTTGCTAATAAGGCTGGCTTTGAACCTGTGATCCTCCAGCCTCAGCCTCCTGAGCTGCTGGGATTACAGGAGTGTGCCACCACATCTGGAAAAAAATAGTTTCTAWATGAAAAATGCCTTTATAATTATAGGTAATTGAGAGCATAAATTAATAATAATAGCAAGTACTCCTTGAACACTTACACTATGTTCCAGGTACTRTTCTGTGCACTTTACACAGATTGTTTATTTCACAACTCTAGATAGAAATCATTATTGTTCTCATTTTACAGATGGTTGACGCAGGGTTCCACTATTCTATTTTAGGCAAATTACCTAACCTCTCTGATTTCAAGGTATAACACAAATTCAAGACAAAAGAGAGAAATCACTGTGGTTCAGGCTCATCCAGGAGGGCTTCCTGGATGAAGCAGGTTAGTAAATCATGCAGGACTCTGTAAGAAGATATCAGCAGGTCATATCTTCCTGCCTCTTGCTTTATCATCTACTATCGGTACCAAACTATGGAATCCAGTTTTGCTAAACTACTAACCAACTCAAGAGCTTCTCAGTTCCAGCTCAAAACAAGCTGTATCAAAGGGATCCTGTGGAAAATGCTCTTCCCTCAATCTTGAAACAGCACCAGTGGCAGGACAGCAGCAAATGGATAAACTTCCATACTGTCCTGCAGATTCCATGTCCGTTCATTATTAATGATTTGGGTTCATGCTGTTCTCCTAGCTGGAATGATGTCTCCATGATCCTACTCTTAACATCATTGTCAAATATTTATTGACTGTCTTACTTTGTACACTAAAGGTTTTATGTGAATAGGGATTTTGTCTGTTTTGTTCACTACTATTTTTCCAGTGCCAAGAACAGTGCTTAATATTGTTGAATGCATGAGAATTAAATGTAACTGTTGAAGTTCAGCTGATAGTAGGTTAGAAGTAGAGAAAATATTAAATCCTCATCTAAGCCGGTGGAGGGGGCGGCACTAAATGGCACTGCCTGAAGCTGACAGAACATGAAAAAGAGGTTGACATCTATTATTTACAGCTAGAAAGGTTAACAGAAAAAACTAAAATAGCAACTGAAAATTGAGAAGACAGTGACAGTAGGAAATTGAGGCAAATAAATATCAAAATAAATCAAGAAATGAGATGAGTGAAAGCATATTATTTTGACTTAAAGTCATAAAAAGATATAACGTGGAAACATTAATAGTGGTGACCTCTGCAAAGATTTAGGGATGGATAATTATTGCTCTTCGGTAGAAGATGTTTTATTTTTTATTATACATAAAATACTTCGACAAATTAAATAATTAAACGTTTAGTTGTTTCAATTGTGCCTCTGGCAGAGTAGGACACAGGTCTGAGAAGACATTTGAGGGGAGGGGACAGAGACTGGAAAAGACTTTGGAGGCAGAAGGCCAGGGGGAGAAGGGAGAGGGGAAGGCGGGAACCTCGGGGTCGAGGAGCAGTGGGGTATAGTAATCTTCTGGCTTTAGGGCGCTGGGCAGGTCCCAAGGGCATCTGGCTGATGGGGGCCGACTAAGGTGAGCTTGCAGGATTCCTGACTTCAAAAGGGGCACGGTTGTCTACCACCTCCCTTCTCCACCTGGATTAGTGTTTCGCAGGATAAATCGAAAGTGGAAATGTCCAGGTCCGCGGCCCAGTGTCCGTTGCGTGAGAAGGGACCCATCCCGCACCAGCGCAGGACTTACACTCAGTACTTACCCGCCCGTCCAGCGCCCTAGGTTCAGGGACTTGAACCCCGCGACCAAGCCCAGGCGATCCACAGCTCCCGGTTGGCACTCCACAGCGCAGTGGGCCCGACCCTGAAAGCCAGCGCCAAAGAGAGCAGGGAGGGTCCAGGCGCCGGCTCCGCCCTTCTGGTGACGCTTCCTCAGGAGCAACCAATCACAGACAGGAATCTGAGAATCCTAGCCTATCGGAACTGGGAACCGGAGTTGTGACCTCCTCTAGGCGTGTCTGTCTCCACAGTTTTCCCCTCCACATTCCTCACTCAGAGCCACTTAAAAGGTTTACTAAAAAAAAAAAAAAAAAAAAAAAAGTCTTCCAGGATTCATCATAGGATTGAGATCATCCAACGAAGGTCCAGGTTCTGCATTAAGAGACGCCCAGTTCATTTGCCGGTTTTTCATGTTAAACTGAGCAGCCTAGGAGATCAGGCAGATCTGGTTTTGTGACTCAATCCAGCACAGGGCCGGGTACACGTATTTAGTGGACTCTGAAGTTCCCTGCAGGATCTGCAACCTCTCATAGCTCCTGAGTCACATGCTGGGTTCTTCATTTAAAAACCCTCCCGTTTTCCCTGGCAAACTCTTATCCTTGAATGCTTACAAATAAGTTTCTCATCACAATTCCAATAATCCAACTCAAGAATTAGGAGCAAATGGAGTAGGAGAAGTGGAATCTTTGGTTACAAACTTCCATTTTAAAAACTTCCCCAGCCCCCACACAACAGATACCCACTTCCTCACCCAAACACACAGACACACACACAACATGCTGCTTGAGACAATGACCTGTATGTTGTATTTCTAGGGCTCTGTCTTTTTTAAAACTGCTTAGGTCGATACCAAACAAACAAGTGAAGGTACATCCAATATGGACGTAACCAGGAAATCCTTTAATTGATGCCCAGTCCCAAATGATTCCTCACTAAGACTGACACTCTTTGAATCCTCATGCCATTGTTGGAGCTCAGGCCATGGTTGAAATTCTGAAAGGTGAGACCCAGAAAATTCCTGAAACAAATGGGACTATAAACACAAAGAAGAAAACAGATAACTGAGATCTGAGATGGATTGCCACCTGGGTCTGGATAAATGGCTACCCTAATAGAATAGTGAGTGAATTAATTGAAACCAACCATTTATTTATTTTTATTTTTATTTTTTATTTTTTGAAAACAGTCATTTAAAACATTTATTGAGCATCACTTAGGTCCAGAAAAGAGATTGAAGATGGAGGTGAGTTTAGAGCTGAGACTTAGGATTCTGTCTAAAGGAGGTAGAGAACCTTTCCAAAAGTGCTTCTGGGTTAGAGKGGTGGTCACCAAGAGTGTGTATTAGGCTTTAAGAGTCCCAGAAGTCAGAGAGTAGAATGGAGAGGACCTTTACAAGAATGTGCTGGGCACGTTTCAGCGTGAGTTGCCACAGATGGGAATATAGTAGCATATGTATATGTTGTGTTTGATGTAAAAATAAATAAATTATAAATATGTATCAGAACATAGTCAGATATTACAATAGCAACTATTACTAATTATAGATTACTAACAGCAAGATATTTGGAGAGTTGGCTTCAGAACAAGCCAGAAAAATCTTGGTACTAGTATGATGTCAATGTTATGTCAGATTAAAACAAGAAGAAATAGCTTCACAATTTATTGTATTATTGTTTAGTTATATTTATTTTAACTTTAAATCCGTTTCAATAAGCTGTTTTTTCTTCAAGTGCCAATGTCTCCATCAATAATGATTGAATTACACAAAGTAGTACCTTTTTTTTTTTCATTTCCCTTGATTTCTGAGAGTTTTATTTTTCTGGATTTTGGTCCCTAATATTATGTGTCTACCAACATTTTATTATATTTTCTGAGAGAATTATCTTTTTTCCCAGAGATCTATTTAGTTGATTGTCCCATTTAAAAACTTTGTTTATTATTTTAACTTATTCATTCCAATTTTATCTTTATTACTTGTGTTTGATTTGTTTTACTTATGTTCATTGTCTTATTTTTCTGGCTTCTTTTAGTGCTTTTAAATTCCTTTACTGGGGAGTATAAAATTTTCTCTAAATATGTCAGGCTACCTTCCATAAATCACATTGGTACTTTTATTTCAATAGTTACTAAAAGAACCGTAAGAACAGTTTTGAATTTATTTTTTTACAAAATATATGTATATTTATTTATTTATTTTTGGTACTGGGGGTTGAACTCAGGGGCACTCAACCACTGAGCCACATCCCCAGCCCTATTTTGTATTTTATTTAGAGACAGGGTCTCAGTTGCTTAGTGCTTTGCTTTTGCTGAGGCTGGCCTTGAACTCGAGATCCTCCTGCCTCAGCCTCCCAATCTGCTGGGATTACAGGCATGTGCCACTGTGCCTGGCTAAATATCATTTAATTGAATTTTTAAATATATAATTTTTTAGGTTTGCTATATGACCACAATGCAAAAAATTAAAAAAACAACTTTAAAAATGTCATTATAAATTCTACTGTGAGAATATGTTATGTGACCAACAATGTAATTGCGTTATATAATTATTCACGAAGTGTGGACAAAAAACATAGGCTCTATAGTGTTAAAGACTATATAGTGCCCTCATACCAGTATAGTGTTTGATTGTATTGACCCATTGCTATGGATGTGAATAGCAGAAAATTTAGGCAGGAGGCAAGGGACTGAGGCCAACCAAAATGCTGACCAAAAATAACAATAAAATATGACAGGAACCTATTTTAAATAGGAAAATGACATATTAAAAAATATTCAGTGACTTATTGATGATGCAGCCAGCAATATCATCAAACTACCCTGGAGTTCCACTCCAGTGGAGTTTTCACTCTACCTTCAGATCTTACTCCCAAACCTGCCACTAGAGGCTAACTAGAAGCTAACTCTAGAATCTCTACCTTTGCTATGTTTGCTATCAGACCTCTTCATCATAATGATTCAGTGTGGCATCTCTTCTTTATATTCCTATTCCTAGTATCTGAATTGGCATCCTTAATCTAAGAAGGATATTTAAACAGATAAATGAAAGTAAGAATGAATCAGAACAAGGAAGAGATGAAGTGTTCTTACCATGAGGAGAATGTACATGAAGGCAGAGGATGACAGAGTATGCCATATTTAGGTGGTTGGACTCTTTTGGTACATCTTGGACTTAGCATACAAAAAAGAAGGTAGAATGGTTAGAGATGGGGATGAGTAATTTGCACTAAGATAGCTCATGGAGTTCTAATGAGCTGGGTTATGGAGTATGAACTTCCAGCTTCCATTCCTAAAGCAGTGGGAAATTTCTATGAACTGAATTTGTGTTTGGAAACTTTTGCTGCCAATAATATGGACAAAGGATTGGTAGGAAAGCTCTTCTGGGAGACTGACCAGTGAATAAACTATTCTGATAATTTAGGCAACAGATTATCTTGGCTTGGACTGGATAAAAGTTGAAGGAGATAGAGAAAAATAATCTGATTCAYAATATTTCTAGTACATAAAAAAAGAGGACTTAATGACTAATTGGATATGGTGGAGAGGGAGGTGAGAGAGAGAGAGCATGCCAGAATGATGACTTGAACATTTCTGGTTTGGGCAACTGTGTTAGTCAAGTTTGTGTTGCTGCAACAAAATGCCTGAAAAAAATCAACTTACAGGAGGAAATATTTATTTTGGCTCATGGTTTTATAAGTTTATGTAAATGGTCACTCAATTCCATTGGTTCTTGGGGTGAGGCCGAACGTCATAGGGGAGGGGAAGTCCTGGCACAGCAAAATTGCTCACCTCATGGCATCTGGAAAGAGGAGAAGAAGAGAAGGAGGAAAAGGAAGGAGAAGGAAGGAAGGAAGAAAAGAAGAAAGGAAAAGGGAAAGAGGGAGGAAGGGAGTTAGGGATAAGATATACCCTTTCAGGTCATGCTCTCAGTGACCTACTTCCTCCAACTAGGCTGTACCTCCAAAGTTTCCACTACTTCCCAGTAGCTCATTCAATTATGAGCCCACCCAGAGGTTATCCCATGGATGAGATCAGAGCCTGCATGATCCAATCTCTTCCCCAAAGTCCCACCTCTAAACATTGTTGCCTTGGGGACCAAGCCTTCAACACATGAGCTTTTGGGGGACATTCCAGATCCAAGTTATAGCACCAAGAGAGTCATTTTTAGGACAGGGACAGGAAACAGAGAACAGGTTTCACACTGGGCATCAGCAATAATAAGCTTAGTTGATAATGAGAATGAGCTTAGAGATAATGAGTTAAGTATTGAGTTTAAAATGCTTGAGGGACTTCAATGTCCAATACACACTATTATGTCTTAAGTTTAGGGGAGTGGTCTGGCCTGTTTGGGTGACGGAAACTATGGGATCAAGTAGAATTGCTCATGGTTGCTATATAGAGGGTCTACCTGGGTCATAGCCTAGAAGAACCCCACCAATAGTGTGAGATGTGAAGGACAGGTGGCCTCCCTATTAACTCCATTCTGCTGATATTTACTTGTATTCAACCTCTGTGGAGCTTTAATTCTTCAAGTCTTGCCCATTTCACTTTCTTCTGTTCACATACAAATGTCTTAAAGAGTCATCTTCAACTACTTTCTCCATTTGCTTTCAACCCATTCACTCTGCTGCCTTTAAGCTTCTGTCCCCACCCAACACTTGTTAAAGGGACCAGGGACCTTTTGACCTTTTGTTCTCTGGCCTCACACTTGTCCCTCTTAACTTCAGGCAATTGTAACACTCTCTCACGGGTTTCCTTTGGCTCCATTGGCAGTTGTTTCAACTAATAATAAACAAAAACATTCACTGGAGAATTGCTATTATCTTATTTTTCACATCAAACTGAGCTTTARGGTGGTCATATCATTAATGAGTGTTTCAGCCCCATATTCAAACCACACACTACACTGTCTCTTTCTGGAGGGACAAGTGAGCAATGAATGGTGACCCAAAAAAGAAAAGGTTGGCATGAGAGGTAAGGGAGGAAGAGCTGAAGTGCAAGGTAGTGCTGCTGCGAGGAGGCGCTCAAACTCCCAAGTCCATGAGTCTTGAGTCTTGGCCCTTGAGGCTTCTTCCTAAGAGGCCTTGCTCAGAGTCAGCTACGCGATTGTAACTCCCCTCTGTGACCATAAGAGGGCAGCATCATGGCGCGAGAGAGTCCCTGTTGCAGCTTGGTAACCCCTTGGATAGTGCCTTCAAAGCCAAGCGCGGGATCCCCGTTGCGCTTTCTGGTGCGCGTCCACATTCCCATTCCATTAAYTCCTCTCCTCCATCCCGACCATTCCTCCTCTCTCCCTCCCTCCTACGCAACTACTACTCCCCCTAGTCTCCTACATTGGCCTCAGAAGAATTAGGTAGGAGTCAGGGATCAGCTGCCCTTAGGCGCCTGTCGGTCCCASTTCACTCTTCATCACTCCTTGCACTCTCTAGGGTCCCCAGAGAAGCTATATATGCGTGGCGCCCTTGGGCAGAGAGACTTTGATGCGAATATGCCAGGCTTAGACCAGACGGAGGAGGCAAGGCGAGGCTTGCTTGGCTTTGGGAAATCAGCGCAGATTGAGCACTGCACAGAGGTCTCATGATATGAGGGAGACTGACCTCTGAGCAGTCTGGCTGCTCTGCTTGGCAAGGTCTGACAGTAAGCAGCCTTTCCAGATTACAGTAGCCCAGACCCTACCCTGTGTTCAGTGACCTACCCAAAGAAGAATTTCTTCAAACCTCTTTGAGGCCAGTTCCAAGCTTTGCAGATCCCTTGAACAGGACCCTGAGTTGCAGCCTCCTACCCTTCACTTAAGAAGCAAGGCAAGGGGAATTAATTTCCAGGAAAAATGTCAAGTGTGCCGTGTGTGTGTGTGTGTGTGTGTGGGGGGGGGGGTGTTGTTGTTGTTTGCATTGGTAATTGGTAACAAAGAAGGAAACCCAGAAGTCGGGCTGTAAAGTTATGTTGGAGCCACACTGGGAAGAGGCTTGTGTGCAGACTATGGAATTCCCACTTGGTCTCAAAGTCTCCGGAATCACTCAATATGTCCTCCTGCTGTTTAGAGGTAGTGGTGTGGAAGGAGGATTGCAGTAGGCTGGGTTTGGAGGCAGGGAGGTGAGTTAGAAGGCTCTTTTCATAATCAGGACAAAGGGATTGATTTAATGAGATTGGGAGCAGGGAACTTATGTCAAATAAGAGGAAAAGCCCTAACAGATTAATTGCAAAAGTAAAGTCACATGTAGGAGTGAAAAGACAGGCAAGTGGAGATGGGACTAGCTGCCTTGACCTTGGTGACTTGGGTGCTGGGTGGTCTACTCACTGAGCTCAGGATCAGAGCTGAGGCACTGGTTTCGAAAGGATCTTATTGGGGGCAAATGATCATGAGACAAATTAGGTTAGAGGCTTAGAACAGAGTGGTCTGTGTAGAAAGAGAAGTTGAGCCTGTAGTGATGCAAGATCACCATGCAGAGAGGGAGAAAGAAAGGGTGTGCCAGTGACCTCCAGATGGTAATGGCAGCAGCAGTGAAAGGTTCTCTTTCTGTGTCCAGGCTGCATCTAGTTTCCATGTCATACCCCAGCCAAGTACAATTTTGGACTTGAGAGATCTCAATGGCAGATTCTGTTCTCTTGTTTGTTAGGGCTGGAAATACAATTCCTTTTTACCCCTACCTTACCGCTTTCCAGAGAGAAAAACTTCCCTTAATTTTCTCTGATTGAAAAAAAAAAATCATGTAGGGGAAAGGAACTAAATGTTTTTTCCAAACATATTTCTGGGCCCTTCCCCTGGAAATTCTGTTTCTCTTGGAGCAAGTCCTTGGGGGGAATGGTGTTTGCTGCTACTTTTGATGATTCTATCAGAGAAGCTTGAGAAAAAACACACAGAGGTAAACATAAGTCCATCTTTAAATCCTGCCCTAAATCTGGTTATAGTGGGTCTTAGAGGCAATCACAAACTGAACTCTCAGACTTGGGACCTAAACCCACCTTAACACTGACATGCCCCAGAAGAGCCAGGGTCAGAGTGGAAGGTTAGTGGAAACCTTTTAACTCTCTTKGGAGTGGACAAGAGCAATGGCCTGGTGAGACACATCAGCTTTGAAAATGAAAATTGTTTTACATTTCTTATGAGTGGACATTCACACGCTGAGACTAATAGGACAGGATTAGAATTTGCTCRTGCAGTGCTGGGACCTTGGAGGGTAAAGATAAGGTTTGGAATGTTCAGGGAAGCTTGTATAAGGAGAGTCGGAGCAGAGAGAGGCARAGGTATAGAATTGGTAGATGTACTCAGTCCTGTTTGCAACTGTCACTGTTCCAATGCCTTTTGTGTACAAGTTTTTTCTCTTCTTTGAGCCATGACTGAACCATGTTTTTCCTTTTTTTTTTTTTTAAATTTTATTTCCTAGACCCTGAATTTAGGATGCAGAAGACATAGCTCTTGGTCCCTTGGTCCCTGTCATGGCTTTCTCAAATGGAACTCTAGTCCACCCAGCCTATTTCCTACTGGTGGGAATCCCTGGTGTGGGGCCTGATGTACACTTTTGGCTGGCTTTCCCACTGTGTYTTATGTATGCCTTGGCTACTCTGGGCAACCTGACCATCATCCTCATCATTCGCATGGAGAGGCGTCTGCATCAGCCCATGTATCTCTTCCTGGCCATGCTTTCCACCATTGACCTTGTCCTCTCCTCTGTCACCATGCCCAAGATGACCATCCTTTTCCTGATGGGCATTCAGGAGATTGAGTTCAGTGTTTGCCTGGCCCAGATGTTTCTTATCCATGCTCTTTCAGCCATGGAGTCAGCTGTCTTGCTGGCCATGGCTTTTGACCGCTTTGTGGCCATCTGTCACCCATTGCGACATGCTTCTGTGCTGACAGGGCCTGCTGTGGCCAAGATTGGACTAGCTGCCCTAACCAGGGGATTTGTTTTCTTCTTCCCACTGCCCTTCATCCTGAAGCGGTTGTCATACTGCAGAACGCATACTGTYACACACTCCTTCTGTCTGCACCAAGATATTATGAAGCTGTCCTGTACTGACACTACCGTCAATGTGGTTTATGGACTCTTCATCATCCTTTCAGTCATGGGTGTGGACTCCCTCTTCATTGGCTTCTCCTACATCCTCATTCTGCGGGCTGTGTTGGAGCTGTCCTCTCAAGGGGCAGCACTCAAGGCTTTCAACACCTGTGTCTCCCATCTCTGTGCTGTCCTGGTCTTCTATGTGCCCCTCATTGGGCTCTCAGTGGTTCACAGGCTGGGTGGTCCCACCACCCTACTTCATGTGGTTATGGCTAATATCTATCTACTGCTACCACCCGTAGTCAACCCCATTGTCTATGGAGCCAAGACCAAGGAGATCCGTTCAAGGGTCGTCCACATGTTCTCACAAGGTGGCAGATGAAAAAGAATCTCACCTAAGTGTCCAGAATACTACCAAAGATGAGAGGATGAGAATCTGTAAAATGTCTTGGTGATCGGAGTAACCAACCCACTGGGATCTCTGCTTCCAGTTACCTAAATAGACCTTATATTTCTGCCTTTAGGGATTTATCAATATAGAAGAATTTATGACCCAGTCTGGACAGGCTATCCTAGAAAATGACTGTTCTAGTCTCTATTATGATGACCTTGACTTCCCCTTCTTTTCCAACTAGAAAATACACATGGTTTTGGCTTGGAAAGACTATAAATGCTATATCTCATGATTCATTCTGGACTTGATATATGGTTTTTAATTTTGTTTGCCAAAATAGATTCACATCAGCTAATCTGTGTTGGCTATAAAATTTATTGCTTGTACCCTGAAGTGGTTACACAGTCATAATTAAGAGTTAGTGAAGGTAATGGGGGGACAGTAATTGGAGGGAAACTGTATTAAGAGAGGAGGCAAGTTGACACAAAGGTTAAAGCTTTTTTTTATGCATGTGTGTGTGTGTATGTGTTGAATCTGCCAATATTCATCTGTGTAAGTTCATAAGGTCACCATTTATTCTGGTTGTGGGTGTGATTGTGTGGTATATATGGACATATGTACTTTGTGTTTGTGTGTGTGTGTGTGTGTGTGTGTGTGTGTGTGTGTACATGTGCATTCACAAGAGAGAGAAAGAAAGAAAGAGGGGAAAAGAATATGTATTCTGGTGAGTGTAGTAGCTGTATCTTGGAATATAAGTTTCGTGAATAATGTCTCTGATTGTGCCTTTCCTGTGTTTATGTACTATATGGCAGTTGGTRTGTGTTGTGTATTTATATGAGAATACTGATATATGCATCTGTATGGTGGGAAATGTCTTTATGTGTGCCTGGTGAGAATGCCACCTCTGTCTTTTCTTCATATTTGTAAAATGTGGGATGTGGTGCACAATCTTGTGGAATGTGTAGTGTTGGGATGGCTGTGCCTTTTAGCATGTGTGCAGTTTATCCTTGGGTATATGTGTGTTGTGCATAGCATTTTTGATATAAATTCATTTTATGACACACAAATACATCACAAAAATATGGGTTTTTTGATTTATTTCATTGACCAGGAATACCAGGACACAGAGAAGGTAACTATGAACTGCCTTTATTATTTATCATAGTAAGGGAAAAAAATTCAGTCTTTTACTATTAGGCATGTTCTATCAATTACTGAGAGAAGTATTGAAATTTCTTTACTATAATTTTGAATTTGTTTATTTTTTATTGTAATTATGTCACTTGTTTTTAGTTGTGTCACTATTCTTTGCTCTGAAATCTAATGTCTTGTATGAATAAAACCACTTCAGATGTCTTATGATTGGTGTAACCAAGATCTATCTTTTCTTATTTATTTTAATCTATTTGTGTTTTTATGTTTGAAGTATTTTTCTCATAGACAGCACATTGTTAGTCTTGTGGTTTTTTTTTTTTTTTTTTTTGTACCAAGGATTGAACTCAGGGGCACTTAATCACTGAGCTATATGTTCAGCCTTTTTTATTTTTTATTTTGAGGCAGGATCTCACTAAGTTGCTTAGGGCCTACTAAAYTCCTAAGGCTGGCTTTGAACTTGCAATCCTCCTGCCTGAGCGTCCCGAGCTGCTGGGATTACAGTTGTATWYCACTGTGCCTGGCAGTCTTACATTTTTATCTAAAATGATGATGCCTACTTTTCAGTTGGGGTTTAAGATATCTTTCATGTCTGCTTTTAACTTKTTGAACCTATTTATTACAGTTATAAAAATCAATCTTAATGTCTGTGACTTCTAGTTTTAACATCTGTTTTAATTCTTGCTAGGTTTGGATCGGTAATTACTATCTTCATTATGGGTCATGTTTTTGCATACCTGATAATTGATCCATTTACAGACACTGTAAATTTTACATCTGTGCTAAATATTTTACTCTCCGTATAGACATTCTTGTGATTTTTTTTCAAGAGGCTTTTAAGTAGCTTGGAACTAGTTTGGTTATTTTGGGTCTCATTCTGAGATTTGTTAGGTGGAACTTGGTTACCACTGAGGCATGATCCTTCTCTATTCTCAGTACTGAAGTATGCCCTGTGATCTTGATTTTTTTCTAGTGTGACTGGTAGAAAGTCACTACCCTTGAGCACTGGACAATGTTAGCACTGATCTTTTYATGAGATTCTTTCCCTCACTTTAAGTAACTCACTCACCTGATGAGGTGATTATTACTCAGATGAATTCTGAAGGAAGAGCCTCTGCTTATCTCTATGTATCTCTCTATGTGTTCTTTCTCTATGAAGATCTCTCATCTCTGATACTTTACCTTCGAATTCTAACTGGGTTGGTCTTAAACCCTTACTCCACCTTCTGTTCTCAGGCAGCGCTGTAGACAGCCTGGTTCCCCTTTTCTGATGCAGCATGGAATCTCTCTTAAGTTCATAAACAGGTAAGCTGTAGAGGTTACCTCACTCGATTACCTTGTCTCATGTCCCACTGTCCTTTGTTGCCTGATGTCTAGTGTCTTGCAAACCATCATTTTATGGTTATTCTATTCTTTTTCATTCCTTCAGGTGGATGTAATTCTTGTTACTTCATCTTGGATGGAAGTAGAAGTTCCTAGGTTATTTTTCAGAAAAGTCTTTTCACCACCTAARCCTGGGGGGTGGTTAATGGAGGCAGCAGAGGTGGCTCTAGGGTGATGACAGGGACGATCAGGCTACAAGTTCTGCAGACACTGGGAAGATTTTATGATTGGTAATTTTGATAAAATCTGAGACAGAATGGCCTGGTTTCACATGATTTATTTTGGCATAGTTTGAGTTAACATGCCCTCTGTTGTAAATTAAAATGTTCAACTATGACATTGATCAGTGAAAAATAAAGAGAAACCAAATAAAAATCATGTTGCTTTATTTATAAACAGTTTTTATTTCAAAATTTAAGATATTATTTTCATATTCAAATTACTCTCTAACTTTCTAAAAAATGTTCTTACTACTTTTGCCTTTAAGAGAGACACCAGAGGGCATTGGTCTTACATGGCTGGTATTGCAGGTAGGAGATGGTTAAAAAACCATATCTTCCTGCCTTGGCCAGTAGTTCAGTAGATCAAGGCCAGGGAGTGGTAGACAGAGGCACTGTCCCTGGGGATCCCTGGTATGAGTTAGTCAGACACAGAAGCCAGAACCTTGGAGACAAAGGAGTTCCTAGCACTTTGAGGAAGGGAGGATGGACCTCTTAGGTTCCATGGTCCACAAAAAGAAAGAAGGCAGAGGGTAAAGAAAGTTTCAGGGTGGAAATGGGGTGTCAATCATAGGGTTTTCCTGCAAATTAATTTTGCCTTTCTTCTGGCTGAGTTTGATAAGCCTGTGAAGAAATTGGCAGAAGGATTCTCAAGACGACCCTGGGCATAAAAATGAGTTTCTTCTAACCTTTTCTTGCTTTCATTGCACACTGAGAGCTGACATAAGTATCCAAACTGGCAGAAGCCCATTTGGGGAGGACTCTAGAGACCCATTCTACACATTGCCCCTCCTTCTCTATACCCCCAGGCACATCCTCCTAGGACTTAGAAGCTGGGAAAGAAACTCACACCAAAACTGGCTAGTGAGGTGCATATGCTGATGGACCCTCTGGACATAACCTTGCACCCCCAGCAGGCAGGAGCAGGAGGAGGAAGGAGGGAAGAGAGAGAATAAATAATCCCTGCAAGAGAGGTCCAGAGGAGGAGGTGGAGACAGGGAGAGGGCAGGGCTTCAGTACAATTTCCCAGACCTCTTTAGAAAGAGTTCCGAGGGGGGAAAGGCACACATTCCATCCCTTCAGGACAGCTGAGGTGAGTAGAGACCAGGGGGTGTAGGGGTGTGTGGGTTACTTGTGGCTAGAGATCACTTGTTAGTCCTTCTGAGAGACCGAGAAACCAGGCTGAAGAACCAGATGTACAAGGGTGGGGCTGGGGATGTGAGAAAAGCCATCYACTCCGAGGACAGACAGTAATTTCTTTTAGTGTGATGAAGGGAAGTAGGCAGGTGATAAATGTTGCCTAAGGATAGTTTTTAACCAATTTTTCAATAATCAGTGTACTGATGTACCTGTCCAGAGGCTGGCAAGAGTATAAATGTCAGTAGGGACAAAGAACAGATTGAGGTGGGGTTAGATTGGGGTTGATTTGGGTTAGATTGTGTTTTGATGTGTGGACAGGGCCATCCCTAATTTTAAGATTGAAGTTCAGTGTGTGACTAGGGATCAGGCTGCAGCTAGGGGCATATGGGGAACTCTGAGTGGGATCAGGGCTCATTCTATACTCTGTACCAGGAGTCAGGCTGTGGCTGAAACTGTGATTTAATAATCTTCCTGGGGCTTCAATGCTGGCTCAGTCTGTGTCTAGGATCAGGGTTCATCTTTCAGTCCATTTAAAAGCAGCTCAGCATCCACACTGCGACTTCCCCTGCCTTGCACTTTTTACCCCAACCACACTAGAGCCTTRCAGCTTTCCAAACAAGGTCTGGTTTCTTTTACATTGAGTCTTCGCCTTTGCCAGAGGATGCTWTCAAAAACAAAGTAGACAAAGGCTGTTGCTTAAATTCCTTTCAGTCACTCATAATTAAGCTCCTTACCATGTCTTGCAAATCATAGTGACACAAGCTGGCCCCTGTCTCCTCTGGCTCATCTTAAACTCTCCTGTGCTGTTGGTGTTCTGGCCATCTTGAGCTTCTCTCTGTTCCCCGAGCTCMCCAAGATATTCTGACCTTAATGCCATTTTCTTCTATTGTCTCCATTGCCTGGAAAATGCTTTCCCTAGATCTCAGAGTGGTGGGTATTTTCTCACCACAGGGTTCTCAGTCATTTGTCACCTCTTTAGAGAAGCTTTCTATTGTGTCTTGATCCTATCTTTCTCTATCCATCTCTCTGGTCCTTAATGTACTTTTTGATTGCTGACTAATAATGTCTTTATATGAAACTTTTTGATTGCTGACTAAATAATGTCTTTATATGAAATTTTCTTTCCTGTTTCTATATTTACTTTTAGTTGTTGTCCTCCTGGTATATGAGGTGCATGAGCATGATCTCATCTGTTGTATATACTGTTTGATCTCCAGCTTCCCTTCGACAGTATGTTTTTGTTAACTGAATCCTACTATCTCTGCCCTCCCCCACCCCAGCTCCCTGTTTAAATGCAACTGGTCCTGCAAGCCATGGTTCAGTGTCACCTCTTTATGGAACCCTCTGAGCCTAAATATGGTGAGCCATGGTTGTCTTTGCTTCCAAGATCCTGATGCTTACCCTTGTCCTAGCACTTATCATAATGTGTTGTGAGCACTGTATGTTTGCCTCAATCTCTCCCCACACCTAAAGGGCTGGAGCTGTGCCTTGTTTCCCCTGTACCTCAGTGTCCCCAGTGCTTAGTGAGTTGTCTGGAACATAGTAGTCAGCAATCAAAAATTGCTGAAAACAATGTGTACTGACCCAAATCCCAAATCAGGTGTTTCTCCTGCTCCACATTTGCCTTCAGTTAGGCACAAGCTAGCCTAACTCCATGGAGCACTCATAGATAACTAGGTCAAACTTCGCAAGACTGATCCTACTTATGAGGAGAATGGAAAGGGACCTGAACCCTAGGAGCTCCTCCTTGGGCTAACTTTAGGGGACCAGTTTGACTTGAGTGAGTAGGATAAGGTGGAAATTTCACTCAACTTTTTGTAGTTATCAATTGCACTATTTCATCTTTCCAGTCTCATATTGGCCATTTAAAAAATAATGGCCAAACTCCTTCAAGGGTTCATCTGCTTGATCAAATCTAAGCAAGGTATGGGGCACATTGGGTGCAGATAATTTGGGTGGATGTGATCTGGCAAGACTGCCCTTATGTAGAGTTAGGATAAAGTCTCCTTCAATAATTGTAAAAAGACCCTGCAGTCTTTGCCAGCCACAGTATTGCTTCTGAGATTTTCCTTCCTTCCCTGTGTTGGCAGTGGGAACCAGAGGCTCCCAGGTATGTCTAAGATTCTCTCCAGGAGAATTTGCTTCCAAATATTCCCATTAAATCTGGAAGTAGCACCAGTGTCCCCACTTTGTTACTCTAGGCATGAGACATTATGTGTCCAGATAATGACAGACACCATAAACCCCCTCTCCCATTACCCCTTGTTTTCCTTTCACATTGAACCTAAGTGGGGGGAACTAGCTGGAGGTCTTGAACTCTAGAGAGGCACCTGGACTCAAGGTCCTCAATTTTGGATTCAATGGAGAACAACATGAAATAGCTCTTAACAAATCACCTATTTATTCTTTTTTTTTTTTTAACAATGCCTTTATTTTTATGTGGTGCTGAGGATTGAACCTGGGTCCTGCCCATGCTAGGCGAGTGCTCTACCTCTGAGCCACAATCCCAGCCCCCATCTATTTATTCTTAAGGAAACTGGGTTATGAGCAGGGCAGTAGCCTGGCATTTTGGAAAACATGTAGATTTGCCACTCTGTGCTCTAACCTTCAATGTTTTATCTGCCAAATGGGACTAATAATACTAACTTGATGGGTTGATGAGAAGTTCTAATTAGATAGCAAGGAGATACTTGGCAGAGGACAAATCTTTTAATCTCCACTATGGTTCCTCCCTGTGTCACAGACAGTAGAGTTGGGGCTGGAAGAGGAGGATGCTGCCTCAAGTCCCTGTCCAGGAGAGTCCTCTTTCTGCCCTCCTGGTTTCCCTCTGAGATTATACCTGGGCCAGGTATTACACCTATCAAGCTATTCTTTTACCTTACCTCCTGGGAAGATTTTTTTTTTAGCTTTCAGAAGGTATAGCACAGTTAAAGGGAGCCTGGATCAGGAAAAGTGTACAGGTCTTGGAGTTAGTCTAGGTCAAGTTTCTGCTTTACTCATCAACTGTTAAACCCCGAGAATGCTGTTTAACTCCTTGGAACCTCAKTTTTTTTCATCTACAATGTAGAAAGGACACACAAAACTCCTCTCATGCAGAGTTGTTCTTGGATTAGAGATAATAATATACAGTAGGTACTGTATAGTGTCTGGCATTTTGTAGGTATATAATGAAATCTGCTAAAGTATTATTAAAAACAACAAAATCAGTGTTGTGGGTGATTTCATTGTTTCCTTGGGTCAGAAGAGAGGGTGAAGAGTGCCGTCTTCCTCTCTGTGTGTTTTTCCATGGATCTATGAGAAGTGGTTGGATAGGGGATGAGTGCTAAGCTGGCTCTAGCTGGCAGAGTTCTGAAGGCCAGGGGGAAGGAAGGAAGGAAGGAAGGAAGGAAGAGGATTGAGGGCCTCAAAGTGAATCTCTACTCCATAGCTGGGGACTCCCTCATTCCTCATTCTGAGAAAGGGCTAAGATATTCTTCATGGTTCTCCAAGAAACATTCCTGGGAATTGCTAAGATAGTTTGACTTTTTAGAGAAAATTTCAAGGGCAGAGTTATTCCTTGGGGGTTAGGGCAGTGTGTGGGCTTTCTAAAAAAAGAAAGAAAGAAAAAGAAAAAAAATGATTTCTTTGTTTATTTTTCCTTAATTCTGTTTTTTTTTCATAACAGAGTGATTTAGTTCCAACTTCCTTCTGAGCTCAAAGCATCTTTTGAGTGCATGCAAATGGTTTTAATTACTAACAGATGCTCAGGCTGGAAGGCTACCTGGGAGTTCTCTTTGTCCACTGCTACCTCTTGGGGAGACTGTGAGATTGAGATGCTTCAGGGCCGGCAGCCTGAAGAGCACTACTTGGGCTCTCTGGCTGGCTCCCTCTCTGTTCCTTCTTTTTCTATTGCTATAGTCTTCTTGGGTCCAGATTGGTATCCAACTTCCAGCAATAGCAGCCCATTTTGTGCCACTTAAGCACATCCCCCTTCAAGGTCAGCTGACTCTTCGCTTTTAGATTTTGGGCATCTGTACATCAGTGCCCATTCTTGCCATTGTGAGAGATTAACTGTTATCACTGTGTGTGTCTATTGGTGAAAGAATGAGTGTGCCAGAGGTTGAGTGGTAATTAAGATAACAAATTGGGTGAAATGAAAAATTCTTGGAAACTTCAAACATTTTCATAGATCTTGTTTTCCATTTTTTTAATGGAAAAAAGTGCTTGCGTGCTGTGATTGTGTTTACAACACCWTTTGATATGCCTTATAATATAATTTCATAGCAGCACTATGAGGTTATTATTATTATTCTCTGCATTCTTTAGGGAGAAGATTCTTAGCTCCAAGATTTTGCTCACCACATCACTCTACCCACCATGGTAATGGAGGGGAGGTGGTTATTGAATCCAAGGACACTCTACCATTGAACTGTACCCCCAGCCCTCATTATTTTTTACGTTGAGACAGAGTCTTGTTAAGTTTCCAGGGCTGGCCTCAAACTTGTGATCCTCCTGCCTCAGCCTCCCAGTTAGCTTGGATTATAGGCATGAGCCACTGCACAGACCACCAATATGTTGTTTTTTAATTATTTTTTTTCTTTTTTTTTGGGGGGGGGG